CAGAACCGGAGGCCGGCGCAGAACCGGAGGCCGGGCCTGTGGGCTAGCGGAGGCGGCGTGGGGGCGAACGTGACCGTGGCTCAGACCGCTAAGATTGTTACAGTTTCTACTGCGGTCGGAGCCCCGGGCACCGCGCGCTCCATCTCCTCCTCCTCGGCTGCGCTGCTGCCTGCCTCGGACCCCGGCCACGGCCACGGCCACGGTCACGGCCACGGCCACGGCCACGGCCCCGGCCACGGTCAGGTCACGTCGGAAGGAGAGAGAGAAGGACGGTGGGCTTTGTGAGAGGGCGCTCGCCGAGTCTGATCTGCGCTTCCCCACGTCACGTCCACCTGAAGTTCCTTTGTGGGAGTGTATCCGAATCGAGACGTTCAAGCCCACGCACCTCCGAGTCAGTTCTTGGCTAATCAAAGTCCTGCCTTTGCTTCTTACCACCGTCAGTGACCCAGCGCCTTAGCACAGTGCCTGACACACAGTGGGCGCCTCATAAATACTAATTGATTGATAGGGTGGAAGACTCCAAACATTTTTTATCCCAACCCCACCATCGGAAAAAAAAAAGTTTGATCATATTTTAGCTATATCTATAATACACATTTCCTATTTCTATATTATATAGGCTTATATCCAGATATAGACTGTGATATTTATATCTACGATAGACTTTTTGTTGTTTTTGTATAGGTTTATATCTTTATATAGACTATGATATTTATATTAATGATATAGAATTTTTGTTGTTTCCGTTCAGTCGTGTCTGGCTCTTCATGATCCTGTTTGGGGTTTTCCTTGGCAAAGATACTGGAGTGGTTTGCCATTTCCATCTCCAGTTTATTTTACAGATGAAGAAACCGAGGCAAACAGAGGTTAAGTGACCTGCCCAGGGTCACACACTTACTGTCTGAGGCCAAAGTTGAGTTGGGGTTTTGCGGACTCCAGGCCTAGTGCTTTCTTTGTTCACTACCACCTAGCAGCTCTGTTAATTATACTAGCTCACAGCAACCCTGTTAAGTATTATTATTCTCCCCTCCCCCCATTTTACAAATGAGGAAACTGAGGGCAAAAGAGATAAATTGATTTGTTAAAAGGGTTTACTTTTGTTTTTCAATGAAGGAGGTAGGAGGGAAAGAAAGTAAATGCTTGCTAATTGAAAATGAGAGAAAGAAAGAGAGAGACAGGCAGATACAGATGGAAAGAGATTAAGTGACTTGTTTGCCCAGGAGTAATGCAGCTACTAAATACATGAGGTAAGATTAAAACTCAGGTCCTCCTGACCCCCAAGTCCAGCCCTCCATCCACTCACTAATAATTTTTGTTTTGTTGTTGTTCAATTGTTTTCAGTTGTGTATACCTCTTCTTGGCCCCTTTTGGGGTTTTCTTGGCAAAGATGCTGGAATGGTTTGCCATTTCCTTCTCCAGCTCATTTTGCAAATGAGGAAACTGAGGCAAACAGGGTGAAGTGACTTACCCAGGGTTACACAGCTAGTAAGTCTCTGAGGTCAGATTTGTACTCTGGAAGATGAGACTTCCTGTCTCCAAGTCAGGCACTCTATCCACTATGCCACCTAACTGCCCTGAAGTAATAATTATGTACATTTTAAAATGTAGACAAAAAGGAAATTAAAAGGAAGTAAAAATGAAATATTTGATTTTTGAGTCATGAGAAAACTGCTGGTGTCTCTTGGATGGGGAAATAACATGAGACTTGTGCTTTGTGCTTTGACAGCTGAGTGGACTGAATTGGAGACAAAAAACAGATGAGTCAGGGAGAGCAAATAGGGTTTGCAACAATCCAGGAGGGAGTACCTGAACTAGAGTGGTGGCCATGTGAATCGGGAGAAGAGGACAGGTTTAAGAGATGTGTTCATAGAAACAACATGATATGGCAACTAGTGTTCTATGTTGGGTAAGTCTAAGAAGATCCTGGGATTTTAAGAGCCTGGGTGAGTGGGAAGTTGGTGGTGCCCTTGAAAATAATAGGAAAGTTAGAAAAGGGCAGGCAGGATGATGTGGGGAAAGACAGTGTAATGAAATCTACGTTTGCATCACAATCCATCCTCATCTGCTCCACCTGTCTCACTTTGTCCCATCCAAAGGGGAAAGGGCTAGAGTCTCAATCGTTGGTTACTGCTCTGGAATCCAGATTCTTACCTCTAAAGTGAGCCTGAGGCAGCCGCCAAGTGGTCTGGGGCCTCTGGGTAAGTGTGTGGGATTTTCCCAATGGCACCTATGCTGCTGCTACTCTGGGTGCCTTATTATCAGCCAGCTTGACTCAGAAAGAGGGAATGCTGGAATGGGTGGGCAATGAGAGTTATAATAATAATATTTATATAGTGCCTACTGTGTGCCAGGCATCGTACTAAGCACTGATTATATTCACAATGACAGTGGGAGGCAGGTGCTATTTTTATCATTGCCATTTTACGATTGAGGAAACTGAGGTAAGCAGAAGTTAAGTAACTTGCTGAGATTCACACAGCTAGTAAATGTCTGAGGTCAGATTTGAAACTCAAGTCTTTCTGAATCCAGGCCCTTTGCTCTTTCCACATAATGTAGCTAACTCTGGGTAGTTTGGAGATAAAAATCTTTCCACTTTCTGATTGATCATATGGATACATGATATAAAAGGCTTATTGAAAGTAAGTTTCATTACAGAGTGTTTTGTGTTCTGGTGACTTTGAGAGAGCTTCCTAAAGCACTTGTAGCAAAGTCCTATAAAAGTACTGCTTATTTGTCTCATTTTGTTGAGAAGAAAATGGTACATTTGCATATAACTACTGATGAGTCAGATACAGAATCCAAATGTCAAAGATGGAATCAGCAAGCATTTATCTATCACCTGCTATGTACCAGACCCTGTTGTTGGGCACTAGGGATAGAAAAAGATGAAACTGTCTCTGCCCTCAAGGACTTAACATTCCATCTGGGGAAACAACCTGTGTACACAAACTTGTACAAAAATTAATAGAAAATGTGAGGTATTAGCTGCTAGAGAAATAAAGTCTCATATAAGAGGTAGTGCTTGAGCCTTGTTTTGAAGGAAGCTAGGGATTCTAAGCAGAGATGAAAGAGTACATTCTGGGGATGGGGAACACAGAGATGGCAGATAGAGTATGGTGTGTGAGGTATATACAGCAAGAAAGCCTTCTTGGCTAGACCCCAGAGTGAAGCAAGGGAGATAATGATAATTGAATCACTCATTAGGCATCTACTTCCTACAAATTGCTAATTGTCTTTTCCCAGAACATGAAGTTATCATAACTAAATGAAAAATTTCTTTGAGGGAAATCTCAAGGAATAGGAAGGTATGTTGGAGCTCTGTTGTGAAAGGCTCAGACTGAGAAGTCTGTATTTGATCCTTGAGGGACCGCTGGATCTCATTGAATAGAGGAATGGTGTGATCAGATGTGTGATTGGGGAGTTTTACACTTGCAGCTGCGTGGAGAGAACAATGAAGAGTCTGTGACAATAGTGGGGGTGGTGGTGATGAGGTTGGGTGGTGGAGAAAGAGAAGAGAGTGAGAGATTTTGTGGTGGTCGAAATGGCAAAAAATAGCCACCAATTAATTCATTTGGGGTGAGGGAGGAGTAAGAGTTAACTCCTAGGCTGAGAACCTAGATGACTAGAAAGATGGTGGTATCCTCATAGAAACAGGGAGTTTGGAGGAGGGATTGGTCTGGGGAAAAGATAATGAGTTCTGTTTTGTATATACTGAATGTGTAAGATAATCTGTGGGATATCCAGTTGGAATGACCATCAGACAGTTGATTATGTGAATTGGAACTTAGGAGAGACACTTTCTGGGTACATAGATCTGAGGCAGAATCCCAAGGAACAAGTCAACAAACATTCAATGAGCAGTTACTATGTGTCGGGCACTGTGCCAAGTGCTGCGGATACAAAGAAAGGCAAAAGCAGACCTTTGCCCTAGAAGAACTCACAGTCTGATAGGGTAGACCACATACAAACAACTATACGTACAAATGCTATACATACAGTATAAATAGTACATAATCACAGAAGAAAAGTGTTTTCATTTGTAGTTTGAGTAAGGTTTGAGATTCCAAAGAGCAAGAAAGAGAAAGATAAAAATTTTCCTTGTATGTTACTTATGTTGTCAGGACAAGAGCCTGAGGGACAAATGACTGAGGGAGAAGGGGTAGTTATAGCCCTGGTGTGGGGGAAAAGTGGGCAGAGCCTAATTTGTTGAGACTTGGAAGGCAGAGGTGGCTGCTGGCAGTCCCGGACAACAGCTGATGCTTCTGAGGAGAAAATTGGTATGCTTGGGGAGGTAGAGTCCCACAAGACAAAACAATGACAAAAACAAAAACAAAAACAAAACATAATAAGAATGGAGTGTAGAAAGAAAATGTATTATTGAGGGTGGACAGACACAGGACAGACCTGTTGGGATCCTGAGTGGAATTAGGTGTTCTGAACTGTGAAGCAGGGTGGAATTTTATAGGGTTCTTATCTGAATTAAATGAGACCAAGCACTGGGGGTAGGTTTCTGGATTGTTAGGTCAAGGTTCAGGACTGATTGCTGGGAGGGAACTGGATTACTGAGGTTGTGAGGAGCCTACTGACGTCCTTACAGAGAGCACTAACATCACAGGGGACCAAGAAAGGCCTCTTGTAAAAGGTGGAATTTTAGCTGAGCCCTGAAGGAAGTCAGGAGGCAGAAGTTGAGGAGGGAGAGAATTCCAGGCATGAGGCAAACAAATGAGCCAATGAAAAATTAGGGAATCAGAAGATGTAGGTTGAGGAACAGCAAGAAGACTGATATGTGATAAACCAGGGAGAAGGCGGCCACAAGGCCTGTCTCCAGTATAATCGCCCAACCCTTCATGCATTATCCCCCAATGCTGTACAAGCCTCCCAACCTTTCCTCCTTCTAAGAAGAGTGTTAGCCCCTCAGGGGAATTATAACCTAATCATGACCTGGGGAAACCCTGACATGGCAGCCCAGGTATCAGTGGAAAAGTATTGTCCCAACCCTCACTCACCTTTCAGCTGTGGTAGACATACTTTGGAGATGAACTCGATGACCACTAGAAATAGTGGCCAATAAGAGCCCTTCTATTCTGCTCTCACCTGCGCCCCCACCCTGCTGCCTTATTTTCATTTTGAGTGGGACAGGGTGAATCTCACAGGACCAGTAAGCACGGATGGCTTGTAGCAGATTGGGCCTCTAATTTCATTACCTCTCTCTCCATACACACTCCTTTTCTGAACTTTCTTAGTTCTGCCAAAGGCATCGCCATCGTTCCAGTCACTCAGGTTCACAAGCTGAGTATCATTCTCCCCTCCCCCCACAGGTCCAAGTAGTTGTACTCTGTGGTCCGACCGAAATTTATCTTTTGTGCCGCTCATATAAAAACACAACTAATTGATTCTAACATGAATAGGGAATCAGGGCATAATACCAACCATTGAGCAGGACCATGAAAACAAAGAGGAATGAATTGATACAGAAAAGTTCCTGCTGAGTTGGAATCAGAGACACATTGCTTATATCTACAGATAGCTGCACAGAGAAACTGAGGGCAAGTGGTCAAGTTCACCTGATATTTGATTGATGTATTATTGTTGAGCCTTGAATAAACTCTTTTGCTTAGTTAGCTTTACTGATCCAATTGACTGAATAATTCATTACTAACAAATAATTATTATTTCCAAGTCCATCCTATGCCCCCCCCCAAAAAAAACACTTCCTGGGTGACTCTTTACCTCGATCCTGGTGTCCTTCCATCTCCTTTCCACCCATGGATCTCCCAGCTCCAATAGGTGAGCCTTACCCTTGTTTTATTCGGACTTAGCTTCCACATAGTTTACCAACAGACTCCTCACCACAAGCCCTCACACACAGCCTACCCCTTTCTGCTCCCCTTTATAGGATGCCTATCCCCATTAGAATGTAAGCTCTTTGAAGGCAAGGAGTTATCTTTTTGCCTTTCTTTGTATCCTCAGAGCTTGGCACAGTGCCTAGCACAAAATAACACTGAAACGCTTGTTGTTGACTTGTCAACTCCCTCTCCACGGTAAATTTTTAGGGGACTCTTTCCACTCTATTACACTGTCACTGGGTCCGGCTGGACTGGTATCTATCTATCTGTCTATCTATCTATCTATCTATCTATCTATCTATCTATCTATCTATCTATCTATCTATCTATCTATATCTATCCATTGAAATTACTAGAAGGTATCTTTCTGGTTTGGCATAATTAATCCTCCACCCTTCTCCCATATTAAATTATGCTTTGATACAATAAAACCCCTTGTTTCTCTGAGTTTAGCCTTATGAAAAATTGTACCCTAGGGAGGATTTATCTTTCTGCCATCCCTTTGCCTTAACTCCTTAAGTAATTAAACGAAATCGTTTGGTAAATTTTGCTTGCCCTGGGTGAAGGCTAACAATAGTATAGCTTCATAAATACTCTGCTTGGATACTACCAATTTCATTCTCTCCCCTTTCTCCCCCTTCCCCTTGGTTGTTTGCCTTAGGCTTGCCATTTGGAGGTCAAGGGCTGCAGTGATGATTTGAGTGGGTTTCCTTTGGGCAGTTGGATTATGGCTGGGAGCAGGTTTCTAGTCTCAAGCTTTTCCACAAGCCTGGCAATAGTCCAGAGTTTCATTTGGATTTTCAATACTGTGCTGATTGGTCTAGACATCTTTCCTCTGTAACCATGCAACCCTCCATCGATCCATTTCTTTTGTTCTAATTTAATGGATACCATTGAATTCCATTTGTAAAATGGGTGAAGAAGGTATTTGAGCCAAACTTCTGTCAAGAATTTGCTGATAACTGGTTTTAATCCTTTCTATTGGTTTCTGGCTTGCCTTTTATGTTAGAATAAGGCTGGATTGTTTTCAAGTTATATAAGTAACATTTATTTTGAACTTTAAAATGTTCAAAGCACTTTACTCTCATTAACTCATTTTCATATACAGTAATATAGTGTTCTCTGTGTGTGTGTGTGTGTGTATATATATATATATATGTATATATAAACTCACTTGATCAAAATGACCCTAATGAAGTAGGTGCTGTTAAATCTCCATTTTACAGATAAGGAAACTGAGGCTGAGAGAGTTTAAGTGACTTGCCTAGAGTCACACAGCTAATAAATGCCTGAGACAGTATTTGAATACGGGTCTTTCTGATTTCTAGTCCAGCTTTCTATCCATTGTGTTCCCTAGCTATCTCCAGCAACTCTCAGGTGACCTTGACACTGTAGGTATTATTATCACAATTCTACAGATGAGGAAACAGACCCAGGGAGGATGAATGATGTGACTGTGGATAGGTTAAGTATCAGGGCTGACATTTTCTTCAATGGTCTTTATTAATTAAAAGATGTAGATTTAGTGGTAGAGTTATGTATGTATTAAAATTACAGATTTTTTTTTTTTAGTGCTGGTGATGGCACTTCCTATGATAACATCCTTTCTCTGTGATTCACATAAAATTAATTTTCTGGTTGAATCACTTTGTGTATCTCTTTTTTGAAGGCTGAATAATCAGTCTTCTGTTTTGGATGGGTGGGTACTGAGTACTCTATCCATGATGAAGTTGGCCAAAAAAATAAGACAGGAAGTGAAACTGTGGGTCTTAGGTGGGAAGGGCACAAGACAGTGTGTTGATGCTTATTGGTTTCTCTTTTCTCTTGTAGGAGCAGCAGAGAGAAGAGATTCCATCTTCCAGAGTCTACCACTGTCTTCCTCCCTTCCCACTGGTCCCCAGCTTTGTGTTTTTGTTTTTGTTTATTTCTTTTTAAGTAATAGAATAATACTATCAGGGATTTAATGTTCCCTGATAGGCTGGTATGAGTGTAAAGTCTGACTCTATGTTTAATTGTCCTGAAATATGAATTAAAATGTTATTTTTATCTCTTGAAAAGTGACCTTTATTTCATTTGGTAAATCTCACTACACTCCTCCATTTTGATTCTCTTTAAACAATACAGCAAGAAAAACCAAACAACAAGAACAAATTTTTCTGCTATTTAAAGCCTTAAAATAAAGTATCTCCCTTGGTTTGTTTTCTGACTTTTGAGGAGCTGACAGAACACTGTGGTTATGCAGCTTGTTAAAACAATTCTTTTATGAAATATCAATCAGTTGAAATAATTTTAAAAACATGAATTTGAGGCCAAAATCCCTGATGATGCCATTTATTTTTATAAATGGCATCATCCTTAAATTCAGAGTTATACTGATAATTTCTATTAATCATTATTATGGGAAAATGAAGTCTTCATTATGTCTTCAAGAATTTGGGGCATTTAATATTCAAGACATAAATCAAGCTTTTCCATCTATAACGGACAGATCATCAGACTTGGAGTCAGGAAAGCATAAGTTAAAATCCTGTGTCAGAGACTTACTAGATCTTGACCCTGGAGAAGTCATTTAACTTCTGTCTGTCTCAGTTCCTCATCTGTAAAAATGGGGATAATAACATCCTCTACCTCCCAGTGTTGTTGTGAGGATCTAAATTGTAGGGTTATAGTAGTCAAATAACTTTCATAGTTTAAGCAGGTTTATAAGATAATCACTCAATCAGTAAACATTTATTAAGCACTTAGCATGTGTCAGGCACTCTGCTAAGTGCTCAGGACACAAAAGGAGGCAAAGACAGTCCTCAGGGAAAGATTACTTTTCTAACGTGTAACTGTGTCTTAATGTTCATTTTTTTCTGTTATTTGCCACAATTTTGTCAACCTGCCTATAACCTTTAAAAATTATTTAAATCTTTTTTTTTTTAGCTTCTTTTACTTAAATCAAATTGGCAATGCTTCTTTTTCTATCAGAATAACAGTGGGAGAATCCACATTCCAAGGGCCAGCCAAGCTTATCTCTCTATCTCTATGTCATCTCTCTGTCTTATCTGTTTTTGATTAACATCTTTTTCTATATCGTTTTCATTTTAGAATATCCTTCCCCATTCCCCTACTCTGTGAACTAACCTTATAACTAAGGATAAAAGAAAAAGAATGAAAAAGGAAAAAAAAAGAAAAGAAAAAAACAACTAAACAAAATAGTTATAACAGTCTGTCTATCTGATATCATTACTCCATTTAGAACATTTAAATCATTGTTCTAATTGGATGTACAGAGGCCAATTTCAACACAGATACCAAGTTGTATAGCCTGGAGTCAGGAAGACCTCAATTCAAATCCAGCCTCAAGCATTCACTAGCTCTGTGACCTTGGGCAAATCACTTTAATCCCTGTCTGCCTCAGTTTCCTCAATTGTAAGATGGGGATTAGAATAACACTTGCCTCACAGGGTGGTTGTGAGAACCAGTTGAACCAATATTCATAAAGAGCTTAGCACAGTGTCTGGCATATTGTAGAAACTTAAATGCTTGTTACCAGTTACCCTCCTCATAGCTGAAGGTTTGCCAGGATCCATTTTCTTAAATTGTATCTCTTCCTTTCATTTTTGGCAAACACTATTCTTTACATTTTCCTAGAGTCTAATATCTCATGCTACTGAGATTTATCAAGTGTCCTATTAATTACCTGGTTATACTTCTGTTTTCTTATTGTCACTTTTTAAGTATTGAAGATAATCCTTCAAATTACTCTCCTTGTTTAATTTCTGCAATCTTGAAATAACAGTTAGAGGCAGATAGTGTGCTTTCATTCAAGATTTCCAAAATATATTCTTCCCTGCTTAAAAGAGAAATTAGCTAGAGATAAGCTAGTATTATAAGACTTACGATTATGCTATTAATTAACTAAGGTAGGAAAAAAGGCACTCTGAAAGATATGATTGGTAAGTGGGGTGTCTTGAACAAACAGTGGATGTCATATCAGCCTTGAGTCTTGAGTCTTGGGTTGTTTTGAGATTCTCTTTAAAAATCTGGATTTCTGTTTCTCAAACTTTGTCTGGGGTGGAGAATAAGGAGTAGGTGTTTCATGTAAGTATGACTCTATTGTGTTAATTCCTAATATATCCTTAACCTGGGATATTAGGTCAAGGTGGTTTAAGAAGGTGACAGAGCAGAAAAGCAGATACTTAAGGCTATGTCTTCCATCATCACCACCACAAATTTTCAAGCAATCCATAGAAATTTCTCATGGAATTCAGAGATTATGGGTTTGGTTAGCTTACTTGTTTCGAATGTTCAGCTTATGAGGACACTTTACATGTTTTACTCCTTAATTAGCAGTGATATAGCTGTTTATATTGTCATTCCTTTTTTCAACTTTTTTTTTTAATTTTTAGGCACCTGGGGTTAAGTGACTTGCCCAGGGTCACACAGCTAGTAAGTGTCAAGTGTTTGGTCTGAGGCTGGATTTGAACTCAGGTCCTCCTGACTTCAGGACTGGTGTTCTATCCACTGTGACACCTAGCTGCCCCTTATATTGTCTTATTCCACCTAAGTTTTAGAGTCTATGAGCACCAGAATTGTCCTATCCAAACTTCAAATTTCCCTCTGGTTCTTTCATTGTGATCTTCGTTTGGTAGGCACTTAAATGCTTTTCACACAAATGATTTAGACCTGGGGGTGGGGTATTCACATGGCAAATATTCAAATAATTGTGAATCATTTATTATTAGTCTACTATGTTCTAGGGGCAACTAAGTGGTGCCATAGTACATAGAGCACTAGGCCTGGAATCAGGAAGACTCTTCCTGAGTTCAAATCTGGCCTCAGACACTCACCGTGTGACCCTGGGCAAATCACATAACCTTGTTCAGCCTCAGGTTATAGGATAATAGTAGGACTTCCTTCCCAGGATTGTTGTGAGGATCAAATAACATAACACATGTAGAGTGTTTTGCCAATTTTAAAACACTATAGAAATGTTAGCTGTTATAATTCCAGCCAGCTCCTTAACAAATGAGTGGCATTGATCACCAACACAATCATGGTGGCTTTGCTCAGATCCTGCACCACTACCAAAAGGTGCTTGTCCTAGTGAAGCTGGGTCCAGAGTATCATCATAACTCTTGAATCAGGATTTATTTTGTCGCTGGTACCACACGGAGTAGGGATGCTGAAGAAACTTCTCAGTTGTTGTGGATATGGTTACACACATATGCATTTGCACATATATGTGTGTGTATATACATAGATAGAGATAGATAACAAGCAAGAGGTATACACATATATGCATAGGTATATATGTATATACACACATATATTATATGTGTATATATATACCTATATGTATATAACATATACATGTGTATATAATACACATATATTATGTATATGATAGTATATTATAGGAGGAGGTATACATATATACATATGTATATATATACACATGTATACATATGTATATGTATACATATACATATACATAATAGTATATTGCATACATATATACATAATAGTATATTATAGGAGGAGGTATACATATATGCCATAAATTTCAATACACATATAAACACATGTGCATATATTATATAAGTACATGCTTATATATGTCATGTAAGTATATAATAATATGATACATACTATATGCCTTGTGTATATGTATGCATACATATATATTCACCCACATCCATGTATGCCACCTGCCTATAATATACTATTATATGTACATATGTATAATAATGTATATATTCATTGTATTATATGTACATCATATATGCATACATATATGTATTATATACACATTGCATTGATTTATATTATACGTACATGTATGTGTACATGTATATACCTATACATATGCACACACATATACACACATGTACTCCCTGCCTATAATATGTTATTACATGCATATTTTTACTATTATTATTATATACACACATGTGTACTGTTACAACACATACATGATACAAACATGCACATATATACCTCCTGCCTGCTTTCTGAATAAAGCGGGGAAAACAAGAAAGAAATACTTTACCATTATACATAGTGGCAAGTCTATTTAAGCATGATTTGTAAATAGAAAGAAAAAAGACTACCAGAGCCTGTGATGACCTATGATAATTATGGTGTAACCTTTTAATATTCTGGTCATGAGCTATCCATTTTGAGCTTGCTATAGGTGGTGTAAGATCTTGGTTTAAACCTGCTTACTGTCAAATTGCTTTCTAATTTTTCCAGCGCTTCTTATCAAATATGGGCTCCTTCGCTATGTTATTGGTGTTCTTGACTTTATCATAAGCTGGGTTATCGAATTTAATTGTTTCTGATTTGTCCTTATCTAGTATGATCTTGGGCAAGTCACTAAAATCTTTTCTAGCCTCAGTTTCCCTATATGTAAAATAAGGGAGTGAGACTGGATGGTCTCCAAGTTTTCTACCAATTCTAAAATGATAATCTGATGATGTGATGGATATACACACCAGAGGGTTGGATATCAGGCTGCCTCAGACTCCCTGATATTAGGAGTCATAGGGCTCCCTGGCCTGTGTCCCTGATCTGAGTACCTTCTGGTAGGACAGGGCTAGTCCCAACTGGTTTCAATCCTATTTTATTCAGGACTAGTGTTTCCAAGCAGGTTGATCCACCATTCCACTTTCTCTAATAGCTCTCTTTCTTTTCTTCTTTGGATCCAAATCAGCATCTGCTGCTTTTTGCAGGGTGGCTGGAGTGTAGGGAGAGTCTTCTGGGCACAGCCTTGAGGATCTGGGTCCTCCTAGAATGTAACACGTTTCACCCCCCCCCCCCCTTTCTCAACTTAATGTTGTTGGACTAGGGTAGAGTCCTTGAAGAGGAATAATGACATGGCAAGATTATTCCCAGACTCCAGCCTATTAGTCAGCTTTTATTTCTGCAGCAGACTCTGTTGAGGTTGATCTGGGAGGGGCACTAACTGAGCTCTTTAAAGATTCTAGTTTTCTTTTGTTGATTCATGAGGATTTTACCTTGTCAATCTCCTCTCTCTCTCTCTCTCTCTCTCTCTCTCTCTCTCTCTTTTTTTG